CCACGAAGAGAGGCCGAATTATTACCCTATAGGTATAGACGGATATAAAAACTATATTAATTATATATTAATACTTCGGTACTATTCCTATAAGGGGGGGATGGAGATTGGAGATTATCGATCGAATAGTATAATTATCGGTAACGCTCCTATTAGCAGAAATAAGACGAGGGTTTATACGGATAGATAGAGGGTTAGGTATACGGTTTAATCTTACGTACACGTATTAAGTAAATATTGTAATCGATATAATTCTTAGGGGCTTAATTTTTAAGAAGGGTATACGATTTCTGTGTAGAGTTGCTTACTTTAGTTATCTACGTTATTTTATTGTTTTGCTCTAATTATTCAAAGTGTTTAGTTTGGGAGTATTTAACGATGGGGTTGTAGGCATAGATGGGAGGCCGCTTGTTAGTAATTTTGAGGATATTTCTTTATGTATAATAATTTTTATTTGTGCGTAAGGGGGAGTTGGGGGATAATGTAAGAGGCTGGCACCTAGAGGTCGAACCTAGCTGTAAGCTAGGTTATGGACCTTAATAGGGCTTACAGACCTGTTTACTTGCCTATCCCCTGATTGGCTAGGCTTCTAGTACCTATAGGTGTCGTTCTAGCTTAGCCGGGCTTATAGGACCTCTTCGGCCCCTTGTGGCAACAATCTCAAGCTCTGTTCCACCCCTACTACCGTGCACACCTAGTAGACCCGTGACAAAGAATTAGAAGAATATAGAAGGGAAGGAAGGATTTAATTATTATTTATTTTTATTTTCTAATTTAAAATTATTTTATTTTATTTATTATAAATAATAAAGAATAATTATAAATATAATATCTATTACCTTTAATTATTTAGTTATTTTAATATTTTAATATAATTTTAGTATTTTAGTATTCTTAGTACTTTTAGTACGATTTTAGTATTTTAGTACGATTTTACTACTTTTAGTACTTTTAGTATGATTTAGTATTTTAGTATTTTAATATTTTTAATATTTTTAGTACGGCTTTATTATTTTCAGTACTAGTTTAATACTACTAATAGGAAGTTAATTTAAATATAAAATATAAAATATAGCATTATAAACATAAAAATACTATTGTACTTAATAAATTATTATATAAATAGTAAAATAAATATATAAATATATTATTATAATATATCTTTTACCCTTTTAATCTTTTATATTCTATAATTATATTCCCTTTCTTTTAATCTTAATATGTAAATAATATTGTATAAGATATATATAATACAAAATATTTATATTTCTTAATAAATATTTTAAATAATATTGATTTCTAATAATATTTGATAAAAATAAAACGAAAAATAATAATAGAAATAAATAAAATCACGGTTTTTAAAACTAGGAGTATTAGAATCGAATTCTTTCTTATTTTTACTATTTATATAAGTATATTATTTAAACCCAATTGACCAAACTAATTACTAGATTATGATTGAATAAAGAAAGAAAGAAGGAAATAAGGAAAAAACGAAAGAAGGAAGAAAAAAAGGAAAAAGGAAAGAAAAAAGAAAAAGGAAAAAAGAAAAAAAAGAAAAAAGGAAAAAAGAAAAAAAAAGAAAAAAAAGAATAAAGGAAAAGAAATAGGGATTATTTCCAGCTTTTACGATTCTTTACAACCCTATTCCTAGTTTTAGTACTAAAAGGCCTACTCCTTTTCTTAGAAGGGGAAGAAGGAAGGGAAGAAGGAATAGAAATAGAACGAGAAGGAGGGTTAGAAGGGGGGGGGGGGGGGGGGGGGGGGGGGGGGGGGGGGGGGGGGGGGGGGTATTAGAAAGAGGGTTGGGAGAAGGTGAACGAGAAAGAGAAAGACGGTTAGGAAGAGGGGGGAGGGTAGTTTTCTTCGAAGAAGAAGGCTAAAAATTAGTATATAAATAAAGAGAAAAGAAGAAGGATTTTTACTAACTTTTGAAGAATTTCTTTCTTTTGAAGAAAGAATAGAAATAAATTATTTCCAATTATTTTAATAGAAAAGCTAGAAATTTGTAAGACAATAGTTGGGTGGTTAGGTTAGTTGCTTTAGAAAGTTTAGAAGCTTGGGAAGGTTAGAAGGGTTGGAGAGGCTGGGAAAATTCAATCGAAGGTTGAATAACCATTAAAACCTAAAAAAGAAAATAAATTAATAAAAGAAAAAAATAAAAAGGGAAGAGGAAAAGGGAGGGAAGGGAGAGGGGATAAATACCGGTTGTACGAATTGGTTATTAGAATAACCATTAGAAAGAGAAGGTTCGAAAACGGTTTCGAAGGTTAGAAGAGGCTAAAGGAATTAGTAAAAAAAAAAGGAAAAAAAAGAAGAATAAAAAAGAAAAAAAAGATTTACTTACTTCGAAGACGAATTGGGGGTTAAGGAAATTCGGATCAGGTTATTCGAAATCTTCCATTGTAGGAAGGGAAAGGAAGGCATCGTTCTAAATTTAAATTAGTAAAGAAAAGAAGAATAAAAGCAATAGAAAAAAATGAGAAAATAAGGAAAAAAAGGAAAAAAAAGGAGGTAAACGAACCTAAATCATAGGGGTAGACGAAGTTTGGCCACCTCCTTGAAGAAAGGCTTCCAACGGATCTATTGTGGAAGGTAGGAAGAAGGTTGAGGGTAAAGAATAGAATAGAAGAAGGTAAGGTAGTGAAGAAGGGTGTTGATGATTTGGAAGAAAAGAAGGAAAGGAATTTGAAGGGGGAAAGTTGTATATATAGATTAGACTTTTTATTAAAAAAACCTCGTTATATTAATTTTTTAAAGAATCATCCTTTTTTTCTATTTTAAACGTCTTATTCATTGAAAAGGTATGAAAATCTTAGTTAGAAAAGAAAGGTAGGATTAAGATAACGGATGGTAAATAAGGTTACATTAAATGGTCAAGCGACGAAATTTTAAGCGCTGAGTTTCAAAAACGTACGATTTCACCACCTTTTTAAATTAGATGACGAAAAACGTCTTTAAACCTTGGAAGGTTGGATTTGGAAGCCTTAGAAGCCTTGGAAGCCTTGGAAGCCTTGGAAGCTTTAAAAGGTTTAAAAGTTTATAACCCTTTTTATTTTATTATTATTATTATTATTATTATTTTATTACTATTATTATTATTATCTTTACTATTTTTCTTCTACTTATAAACTCAATACTAAAATAATCTTTAATTATAATTTAATTAATAATTTATTAAATTTATTCCTAATGTAAATTATTTATTATACTCTTTTTTATCTTTAGTGCTTTTAGTACTACTCTAGTATTTTTAGTATTCCTAGTATTTTTAGTACTAAACGTACTAATTCGTATTAGACTTAGTACGAATTAGTATGACTCTAGTACGAATTAGTACAAATTAGTACGGCTCTAGTACTAATTAGTATTTATAAGTTATAATTTATTATAACTTCTAATTATATATATAGTAGTTAAAATCGTACTTTTCAAATAATTATTAGAATTCCAAAATTATTTTTTTTAAATTTATTTATTATACTTTAATACCCTTCCAGATTCAAAATCTATATTAAATTAAATTAATTCGTAGTAATAGCGTTTTTATATACAAATATTTTTATAAATTATATGTATTAAAAAAGTTACAAAATATCAATTTTCAAAAATTAGTATTTTTAGTATACTAAGTCTAGTACTAGTCTAGTACTAGTACTAGTCTAGTCTAGTACGGAGGCCGTACTAATACTAATACTAAATACTAATACTAGAGTCGTACTAATTAGTACGGTACTAATTCCCAACTCTGGATAAGGTCGGAGGAATGATTACCAACGCCGATGTTATTAGTGCGGAGGCGATTATTTCCAGTATTCTTATTAAGAGATGATCGACGACTGTCAGTTTTGTCGCTCATGACTGATACTTTCAGTGCCAGATTGGCCATCTGTTCAGTAATCTTCTCCATGTTAGACTTATTGGCAACGTTGTCGAGGTTGATGGGGGGTGAAGTCTTCGTTTCCTTCATCGCGGCCTTGATCTTTTTAGCAATCCCATAGAATCGCTATCTGATCCGTTCGCGTTATCTTCGAGGCGAACCTTCCGGGTAGAACTACTCTTCTTCTTCTTCTTCTTTGTCTTGGTTGTAGTAATTCCTTCGTCGTCAGAAGGATCATCAACACCAAGAAGATCATTAAGCGGTCAGACAGCAAGTTAGCACAAACAGTCTTTTCAGATCATATTCTAATACATTTTGGTTGAATACCTTGAATCGATCTCGTTATTTCCTTTTGTGAGACATCTGATCATTCATTTTGTTCATGATTGTATGCCTTCGGATTGAGCTTGTGGGGGGAAAAGATAGGTAAATGAAAGGAAGATGTGATTGAGGGGGACTGAGCCCGATTTAATTTAAGCGTGTCGTCACGAGCATGGTGTGCAACATGAATGTTTTGTGATCATCGATGGATTGATTGATGATCTGGAGAGGAACAGGTCCTCTGCGCTGTCTGGTGTCTAAAATACATGTAGTGTCTGTGATAGACATGGAGCGTACCTGCCCTAATGTTTGGGGAAAATGCCTTGGGCCAGACACAGGCCTTCCTCTGGAAAGGTAGCCGTGTCTGACCTCTCACGCCGAACGAAAAGCAACCAAGTACCAAACAATTATAACACTTGAAACCCAGCCGAAAGAAGAAGTCGAAGAACTAGGTAGGGGTAAACTAGATAGGGGTAATTTGTTTGCTATTATCGATAAGTTCTGGTTAGTTTGGACTATTCTTTTTTGCTAGAACTTGTGTGGTAGGTTGAGAGTTTCTTGCGAGTGAGAAGGAGGACAAGATGAAGTGCAAAAGACTGGGAAGGAGCACTTAGCCCGAGATAGTCCCTCATCGCGCGAGAACATGTCGACAAAGGGCGTCCAAATATGAGGATGAAAATAGTACGTACCTCTACATATCGCATCACTCTTGACTCCTCAAGAACGTGATCGAATCCAGAGCGCCAGTGAAATCCTCCTGCCCAGAATTTGACACTGCAGGTCGTGATACCACACGACTCGCCCTGCAAAGTGCGGCTTGGCCATTGCAATTCTCCCCCCTAGACTTTATCATTGCATGCCCCAGACGACTGAACTTGCAAATTAAGGCCCGGTAGATTTCTGTCTGGAAAAACCGCGCTCCTTTGGGGAGAAAGGACCCTCTTTGGATTTACACGCGCGTTCGGAAAGCTGGGCTAATGAGTGCCGAAGCCATATTCCGGTTTTCTTGCCCATTCTGTCCATAGGGCCAACTACCAAAAAAACTCGCGACAACGGTTGTTGAATTTATCTTTTCCGAACCCCTCCTTCAACTCCCAACAGCGCGAATCGATGAGCTCGTTGATGTTGTCTAAACGCGCCTTGATTGCTTCCAGTTCGAGAGCGTCTGTCGGAAGCATTCCTCGGAGAGTCTTCACTTGTTCCGGCGACAAAGGAGCGAGAGGGCCAGGTACTTCCCATAGGCCGGGTGGAATGTCTTCCCCGACCTCAGAAATGACCCCAGGAAATGCATGCGCAACCCACCCAGGTCGAATGTACTGTTCGACATTAGGTGGAACGAATTGCTCGAACTTCTCGATAAAATGTCGATATAGGTCATCAGGTGGGTTAGATTGGCCGAGGCGCTTCCGTACTTTCTCCAGTTCATGGCAGAACACAACGCAAAAGATAGCGTTGTCCGGAATATGTTCGTTGATGTATTTCTGTAGACGTTTCGTTCGACTGTCGACATGAGCGCGGAATCGTTTCGAGACGGGTCTTAGGTTGGCCTTTGATTCCATATCTCAGTTGTCCATGATATGATCGAGCATCTCGGCCGGAAGGCCACTGAGTGTGGTAGAAGGTGTCGGCATTGTTGGCAAATGTTTGAGTGTTGGATACAGAGTGGAGAGGTGATACCGGGTGAGATTGATGAGAGGATCAAGAGTAGGAAAGAAGAGGAAGGTGGAATAAAAACGAAGGAGGTATGTATGCCTGTTTATATACTTCAAAATGATTGTGGTAATTGACAGATAAGAGGTGCATCGGACATCACAAATCGGATATAAGGTCATGAAGTCCGTAGGTACGTGAGCATCGCCACGTCCCGGTTTTCCAGTGTTTTCCCTGGCGGGCATATATGCAGTGCTCCACACAACGCAAATCAAATCAAGTCTGGGGTCTGATTTGATTTATTTACAAAATTTTGAGGTCGGATTTGCTTTATTTACAATAATATTTAATTTACTTTATTTAGATTTGACCCGGAATATCATTTTTCTGGTATATTTCTAATTATTCAACACTACCCCCATCATCTAGAAACGCCAAATCTACTACTAATTCTTACATAAAACAATATACTCAATAATTAAATACAATAAACTATATCTATATTAACTAACTACTTACTTCGTCTTACTAAATACCTTCTCCGCCTTTATAAATATCGTAAGTATAATTATATTTGAAAACTATACATAATAATTTAGAATCTTT